CTTCACATTGGGAGGTGTGTGATGTTGTATTGTCCCATTATTATTGACACTAACTCTGACACTTGATTAAGGTGGTGTCTGCCAGGTTTCTCTACTATCAAGTTACTGATTCTCCTTTTGCCAATAAGTAATTTGTGGGGAGATAATTGGAGATTATGTAAATAACTTATTCCTCATCGAGCTTGAACCCCTGATTTCAGCATCCATATGTAGTTCTTACCTGAGCAAATTTATCACTATGATGATGCAGAACAGTGATTTTTTTTTTGTTTTTGTTTTGTTTTGCTATACTAAAAGGAAGAGTTTCCCTCTTTCCCCATTTATTTATCAGTATGAACCTGTTTACTGGGTTATAATACATAACTGTCATTATTTTGTTCAAATGTCTCCAGATTTAGCCTGTGACACTCTGCAGGCCAGTTTCCGTGTCCTTCATGACACATTTCCATCACACACACTTCCTTATTGCCCCAAACAGGTGTTTTCATGGTTACCTTGTGCTTTCCTTGCCCCCATCAGGATCAGGCATTTGGGATTAGGGAATGGGATTTTGAAACCAAGGTCTGGGTGTGCTCATTCTTACAGGCGTAAACATGGCCATTCTTCCTGGCTCTTTTCAGTATACCGAAGTGGGAAATTCATACATACCTACTGATACCTCCCAGTTCTAAATGAGTACTAGAGGATTTTTTTTTTTAAAGATTTTATTTATTTATTTGACACAGAGAGGTGACAAGTAGGCAGAGAGAGGCAGAGAAAGGAAGGGGGAAGCAGGCTCCCTGCCTAGCAGAGAGCCCCATGTGGGGCTCGATTCCAGGACCCTGGGATCATGACCTGAGCTGAAGGCAGAGTCTTTAACCCACTGAGCCACCCAGGCACCCCAAGAGGATTCTTTTTAGCTTTCCCCTATTCTATTTTTCTCGCTTTTCCAACTGCAAGAAATCAAGTAATATTGACACATTAACTCATTTTTTTTTCAATTCTACAAATCCTTAGAATTAAAGTTTTTGCATGTCAATAAATATCTTTTAAAAAAGTTTTGCTGAATATGGAGCTGTAGATTGGAAAATATTTTTCTTTAGAGATTTGTAAGCATAAGACCATTTTTCCCCCCCTAGCTTCTAGTCTCAGTGCTCTGAAGTTTCATTATTGTATGCCTTGAAAGTTTTCCATTCATTGTCCTGGCCTGCAGTAGGCTCTCTCATTTCGACAGTCCTGTGTCTTTCATTTCCAGGATGATGATTCTCCCTGTTCTCTCCTTTCTGGAACCCGTTTTGTTCAACTCTTGGACCACGTGTATTGGTCCACTTAATTTCTTACAGTCTTTTGTTATTTAATTTTCTTAATTGTCTTTGTCTCTTTGCTCTAAGGGTGTTCCTAAACTTTATCTTCTGACCCTGCTGTTGAAAAAGAATTTCTCAGATGTTTAATTTTTCAGTGCTCCTTTGTTCCCTGAATCTTCCTCTTTTATCGTCTCTTGTTTCGTGGAAGGCTACGTCTTCTCTCTGAAGCTGCTGTTTTCTCCTCCTGTGCTGTTTGTTTACTCCAGCTTTTCCCGTGTTGGGTTCTCACGTAAAAGGCTTTTCTCAAATGTGTGCTGATCTTTGGTCGTGGGCTTATACCAAGCAGGACGGACTACCACTACCCACTGTGTGGACGGAGCTCGTCAGCTTTGTTGTTTGGCCTTCGTGGCCTGCCACCTGTTGGATGCTCCTGAGGTAGCTTTTGAATGGATTAGATTCCCCAAAGAATATTTGAGGTTTTGCCTGAAGGATAAAAGACCTTGGGCCATTCTAAGTGGGGAAAGCACACCGGGGTCTCGTCTCATTCAGCATGCATTTTTTTCTCAGCCTCTTCTTGGCGTGGAACCCCCACTTCCATCTGCGTGTGTGTCTTCCGGTCCACAGGTTTCCCTCTGTTTTGTCCACTCCAGACAGAAGTAGACTTCCAAACATGCACCTAAGGATCCAATTTTCTTATGCTTTTGACAAACCTTATTTTAGTCTCTCTTCACCCCCACTTTCAGAGCTGTGTCCATCGTTGCCCATTCTTGGATCTTTCCAGGAGTTCTCCAGTGTAAGTGTGGTTGGTTTTGTTTTCCACATCGCTGCTCTCTTCTGTCCGCTTGCTTTCTCTTAAAATTGAATTGCTGTTTTCCTATTTTCCTCGTTCTTGCAGAATTATACCTTTAAAAAAAATCCCTTTACTATAGTTCTAGTAGGTTTTCAGGAGGGAGCATCGTTAAATGCTTGTGTTGAATCTTCCAACATCCTGGGAAGTCCTGGTCCTCCTCACTTAGCTTTTGAAAGTTGAAATTTCAGAGCCTCATAGCCCATTTCTGCCCTTCCCAAAAAGAACATGTTGACAACCAGATAAGCACAGTTGGAGTCTTAAAATTCTGCTTATCCCTGTAAATGCAAAGCTAATGATTACATTTTGCAAGGGCCTGAGAGATTGCATATTTGATTCTTGTGTATAATGCATGAAGCCCACCTATCCAAACATTTTGTATGTGTGTGTGTGTGTGTGTGTGTGTGTGTGTGTGAGAAATTGAGCTTACATACTCATTCCAGGAAACATGAACAGGTGTACAGCTTAGTGAACATGGCTAGTTACTGTTACTTGCGGTGGTTACATTTTGTAAAGTTGCCTCTGACACTGAATTAGTCAATGCTGAGTCCCTGCCCCTTGAGGAAGTACATGGTTAGGTTCCTGTGAGCCAATGGCTGGTCACCACATTTTAATTAACTGATCGATACATAATGTCATTTTAAGTGTTTCTCATAAAGGCATCATGTTTAATATGTGTTTTTGATTTGTAATCATTGAGCTCAAAGCCTATAATAACATCCTTACGCCCTGAATAAAGCTTATCTAATACATTTTTTCCCATAAGGCACAACACATCCTTCTTGCACTTAGGGACACTAAGTCAGCACTTCACCTCACTCAGGGGCTTTTTTTTTTTTTTTTTAAAGATTTTATTTATTTATTTGACAGAGAGCACAAGTAGACAGAGTGCAGTAGGCAGAGACAGAGGGAGAAGCAGACTCCTCGCTGATCATGGAGCCCGATGCAGGGCTTGATCTCAGGACCCTGGGATCATGACCTGAGCCGAAGGCAGCTACCTAACCAACTGAGCCACCCAGGCGCCCCAACTCAGGGGCATTTTAAATAGCACCAATAAAAAGCACAAAATTGTGAAAAACATGGCACTATGTAGGCTGCAAAAAAGGCACCTGCTTTACCATGGGAGATCTGAAACAAGGCAAAGCCTCGATTGTTGGACCTCAGCTGGGAATGTGCGTGTTGGGTGGCAGATTTTCCACCAGTCTCCACACACGCACGTCCTCAAATGACTGTGAAAGTGGTGGGAGTGTTGATCTGGGGGTGACAAACAAACTTGAGCTAGTAGGTGAACTGGCATATCTGTGTTCCACAAATGATGGGGATCAGCTGTACGTGTGAAGCAAACACCTGTGTAACCACCACCCACAGACACTAGAACTTGATCCGTCCCTTCTCCCAGAATGTGCATTTTGCTTTCAGAAAGTTCTGAATTTAAAGAGGTTTCCTGTCTCCAGTTTGCCTCTTTAATTTGATAATTCAAGTTCTGCCTCTGAAGTGTTATTTTTTTCTTCGCTTGGAATTGAAAATAAATATTCAAGATACATATATCCTTAAGTCTCAAAATCAGGCTTCATCTTCTCCATTCTCTTGGGTGTACAGCACAGGACCTGGGCTTCAGACTCTTTACCTGTCGGTCTTTATTTTTTTCTGGACAACTTCGAGGCCGTTGATACCCTTTCTATATGTGGCCTCCAAGTTTAATCCAGTACTCCAGGGTACACACCGAGGTTATTAGACTGTAGGGGTGGGAAGCAAACACAACAAAATGAGGACTACCATTTCCTTGCCTTCACTCTCCTTCCAGTTGTAATATGAAATTTCATCCTCTGGCAGACTCTGTATAATCCCTGTTGTCTCTACATAGTGAATAGAGACAGCATGACTTGCTGACTCAGTTTCCAGAAATTTTCAAAGCTTTTTGAAGTCTGAGTCTGGATGTATAATATTCACTGTACACTCTAGCAGTAGAATGTCCACTGATTCTTGATTATATCCAAGAATCTTGAGAAGTTTGGAGGCACCTTTATGAGCCTGGCTGTGTCTTTGTTCGTTTCCATCTTTCACTTCTTTATTCCTCGTTCCTTGACTGTGCACCTGTTTTTAACCCACAGGATGTGCTTTAGCTTTATTAATGCATTTCTGTCTTTTGAAAACAAAATGGTGCTGTTTTCCTCTTTGCAGCTGAAGATCTTACTTCCCCCTGAATTTTACGACTTAAAGGCTTACTTAACCTTTTCTTCCTTTTCAGTGAATTAAGTGCAGTTAGCAACTTTCACCCATCATCTTTCCATTTATTCTTTGACTTACGCGTTCATCACACCTTTATTGAACACGTTCTGTGTGCCAGGTTCTTTGCATCTCCAGCACCTACTAAAGCTGAGTAGGATGCAGCCTTGAAGAAGTTTAGTTAAGGAAGGGGACACCCTCCTACATAATTACACTTGCAAGATGTGTGTGGAGTGAGAGGGATGACACATGGGCTCGCAGAGGAAATGCACACTTCTAGGAGGCAGCTGAATCTTGAAGGATGTTTTTATTCCTTTAATTCCACTGTGCTTTTATACCCTGCTCCTCCCTGCATGATCCCTCAAGTGCCTGCCTCTCACCACTTGAATTAAGCATCGCCGCAGAGGCCTGGTTGGTGGACACACTGTTGGTCTGTTGTTCCATAGGGTGTGCAAATCTGACTCCTGCCGAAGCCCAATTTCTGAGTCGACCAGTACATATTTTAAAAAACGTTTCTTTTAACCCAGTCAGCGAACACATTTTTGCTAAAACTGTGCACTGATGTTTAGTAGATTCGCGGGATATAAATATGATTTTTTTACAACCCTTTTATCTCCGCTCACTAAATCGTCTGCCGGTTCTTCCCTCCCCAAGTGTTCATGCCATTGTGGTGCTGCCCTCCTCCCCCTCTCTCAAGAGGCTGCCGTAAGGCGAAGGCGGGGAATAGAACTGCGCATGAAGGAGGGCAATCAAGACAGGTAGCTCGATGCCGTATACCTGATTCCTGCTCTCACTATCAGTTTCAGGAGCTTTGGCATTTCATTTACTGGCTGCCATAGTAACCAGGACTCCTGCCAGTCTTCCTGTTTCCCATCTTTTATTCATCTGTAGGTGCATCTGGAGGGGGGATGGGGAAGATAGAAGTGGAAATCTCCCAGTAAGAGGGTGTGGATTTCGGAAGCTCTGAAGAACCTCGAGTATGGATATCTTCATTTTGGCAGGTGCCAGCTGTTGAAGTAGTATTAACCACAAGTAGTCGCCCGTTGGGCTTGTCATTTCTCCATTTCACATTCACGGAGAGCTCCATTATTACTGTGGAAGAAGTGGAGCTTTTATGTTGATTAGAGTTGTAGGAGATCATCGCTGGAAAACCTTTCTAAACCACAGTTCAGCCAAATCACTCATTTTTGAGATAATGAGAAGCCAGCCAGCTTCATACTAGAATGTGGTTCTTACCTTTGTCTGTGCCTGGAGGGCTAGTGCCCAGGATTCTTAAATTCCCAGGCCACTTGAATCAAAGTGTCTGCGGTGAGACATAGGTGAGACATTTTTGAAGTTCCTCAGGTGATTCCAGCGTGCGCTAGAGGAATGCCTTGGTGATGCTGCCCTTTTCCTTCTGTTTACCCAAATCGTGAAAGGGGTAGTTGATTGTATGCAGTTAAGCCTCCAAATTTGGCCCGAAATAACATGTGATTGATACTTTTTGACTTCAGACCTAGGAATTAAGTGGATTATATTTAAGGAACAAAACTGCATTGTAGTTGAACTACACAGAATTGCGGTTAACCTAGGCCCATAAGAAACTGACAGCTCGTAAATTCATAGGAAATTAGATCTCAGGTAGTCATGACTTTCTTCTTGCCTTGTGAGTTAAAGATATTTACATATAATTATAATATATATACTACTTAAATTACTTAAATTTATTATATATATTTAAATATATTTAAATTTATTCATCTCTAACTCTTTGATACCAAGGCTTGTATCAGTGTCTCCCTGTGGGCTAGCTGCAGGTGTCCCGTGGATGCCTGGTGCATTTTGCAGCTGAAGTTACTTCCCTGGTCATCCTGGTACCTTCACATTGGCGGATTCAGCCATGCCATGACGTGTGACTCTCTGCTTTCTTATTTGTGCTTTGTTACTGGCACACATGAATCTGTGCTGAACTCAAGAGTTTTGCTCCTCTGATTTTTTTTTTTCTTCCGTTCTTCCCGGGGTTCTTTTTATTTTCATCACATACCCCAAAGAATACATTTTTTTTTCTTTTTTTTTTTTGACAGAAATCACAACTAGGCAGAGAGGCAGGAGGAAGCAGGCTCCCTGCGGAGCAGAGAGCCCGATGCGGAGCTCGATCCCAGGACCCTGGAATCATGACCTGAGCCGAAGGCAGAGGCCCTAACCCACTGAGCCACCCAGGCGCCCCAAAGAATACATTTTTATGTCTGATTTCCCAGGTCTCAAGAATCTCAGTCTGAGCTACATGGCTGTAGAATACCGTCAAGTTCCCCTGATGTTCCTCATCCCCTTGATTTCATCGGCAGCTGTGTTCTTAGGGCCAGACTCAGCCTTGTCCTGTCACATCTCCTTGGTTGACTCTGATTCTAGAACCAGTGATCTTGAGGCCCCTGACTTACAGATTTCTGGTATTTCTTTGATTACCAAGAAATGAAGCAGCCAGTGTAACAGCTCGTGGTGCTGAAAGTATAGCTTGCAAGGCTCTTCCAGTAACCACTGAGCGACCCAATGGTACCTCTCTGGTTTATTACATTATTAAGAATCTGTGGATGTGGAGTCAGCAAATGAGTTCCAGATGAGGCATAGGTTTATTTTTTCAACACAGTATTAGCAAATTATGGCATCCATAGTAAGATAGCAAACAGTTGGCATAGACTTAGGGGAGGAAATCCATTTGTTTGTTTGTTTTTTAAATACAATTAATTAGCATATAATGCATTATTAATTTCAGAGGTAGAGGTCAGTGATTCATCAATCTTATATGATACCCAATGTTCATATCATCGCATGCCCTCCTTAATGTGTAGCACCCAGTTACCCCATCCCCCACCATCTCCCCTCTAGCAACCTCAGTTTGTATCCTGTCATCAAGAGTCTCTTATGGTTTGTTTCCCCTCTGTATTTTGGTCTTGTTTTATTTTTTCCCTCAGAAGAAATACTTTTAAAATCAAAACAAAACAAAATGAATTTTTCTCAACAGAAGTTTGTTTCTAAAACACCTTTTATTGCTCATTGTAAAAAAAAACAAAAAAACAGATAATAAAGCAAAGTATAAAAAAAGAACAGAATAGTCCTCTCATCTTCACTGCTAGGGAAAAAGAGTTTAACATTTAGCTGTATATTAATCCAGACCTTTTCTCCATGTAAGTACACATGGATTGACCTTACATGCTGATTTTTAGTTTTGTTAAAATATGTTTATGTTTTATATAGGAATCAACATCCTTTTACTAAATGTTTGTATCATACTGAATGATTCAGGGAAAATAATTTAGTGAACCAGTCTTTTATTAATGGACAACTACCTTTCTGTTCATTGTCCTAATAACTTTATGGTGAGATTTTCATAGCTAAGTTCTTGTGCAGGGATATGGTAGTTTTCTCAGAGTAAATTCTTAGAAGTGGCTGTGGGATTGAAGGGATACACATTTGAAACTCCTATATCCTGCCATTTGCCCTCCAGAAAGTTTACATTTTTACCAGTAGTGTAGGTGAAGATTTGAGAAACAACTGAATGTACTAAGGAAAAAACTTGCCTTGAAAAAAAAAGCGATGGCTTGTGTGAGTACCAACACAGTGCCCATGTTGATTCTGCCCCAAATATAAATGCCACCTGCATCTTCCCATTCTTCTGTCCCGCCGTTAGTCCAGACCTGCTCTGAGAGAGCTCTGACCGACCCTCTTTCTGCTTCTAGAAGAGGCGTTCTACTGTTGGGGTCAGGCTGCTGTCCTCTCTAGCCCACCAGTCACAAGTAGCTGCTTCCTTGGAGTTCTTGGAACATTGATGGGTTTTGCTTCCGTGTTGTCTGTGTTTAACTTCCTTTTTAATTAGTTTGCCTACATGTGTCTGTCTTCGTGTCTGCATCGCAGACTTTTAAAGGGCTGGGATTTTGCCTTTCACATCCCTGTGTCTGCCCTTTTGGAGGTGGATTTCACTGTGAGCAACCCAGAAGTACTTGCTGGAAGAGGCCTTTGAGAGGATGGTTTCCAGATTTAAAAAAAATTAGGTAGAGCCTTAAGAAATGGGCAGTGTCCATAACTATACTTGATCCCCCCAACTGGCAGTTTCCTCCGGTTCAACCTGTGTTTCTGACACCCACGGAATGTGGTATGCACATTGTTTTTTCTCCTTCCTTTTCCAGACATAAGGAGTATGCTTCCTCTTTACAACTGATTTGTGTTGTTAAGATTATTTTAAAAATTGTTCCTCAGTAAAGATTGCTAGGTGGTCTCACAAAGATGATCATGTAAATTAAATACCATATTCATAGGTGCTTTTGACTTGCTCTACATTTTAGCCACTTTTAGGGCTCTGTAACGTTGTTAAATGGTCACGTGATATGTCTGAACTGTGAATGTAGTTTCTAATTTAAAATTATTTTTAGAATTGGAGGTACTTTATGCAGAAGACATGACAGTTGCTTATAAAAAGTTATTCAGTGCATTTTACTTTTGTCACTTTCACTATATGGATGTTGGTCCTCGTCTCTTTACCCATCCTTCCCCATTTTTGAAAGCCTGTTAAGTCTTTGTTCAGTAGTTAGTCCGTGTTTGTTATAAATTGTCTTGTAAATATGATTCAAGGGCAGAGTAGTAGAGCGGTGCAGTTCTACTTCTAGGAGCATTGTCTATCTTTGACCTTGGAAAAAGCCTATAAAATGTACTATTCTGGTCACTTAACCCCTAAGTTATGCAGTGTATAACAGTACGTAGTGTGTAGTCATGTTTGAACGTGCATTTATGCTTTACTTTTTTAGTGTTCTAGATTTGTCCTTAATGAATCTTATACTGATTTTAGAATAGCTTCTGTGCTTAGTAATTTTTAATCCTTAATTACCTGGAGTGTTGCAACTGTTGATTCAAATTGTGGGGCAAAAAAGGGGTTCTCTGAACATAAAAATATTCTGAAAAACAGTTCCCCTGGAACCATTTTCGGGGTTGGCCTTTGCAGATGTCGTGAGGCAGGGCTGACACTTTACACGTTTTAAGATAGATGGTTCATCCAGGTCTGTTAGTGACAGAACTTCCCTTAAAGCCTGTTCTGCTGTTGAAAGGTGCTCACAGATTTTCTTTTTCAATCGCTGTCAGAATCTCAATACAGAATTTCAAGGAAATTTCTTTTGAGGAGATAAATCCCAGAATTAAGATGCAGCAGAGAACGAGAGAGGCTTTCACATACACATTTTCCCAGGTTTTGACGGTTTTCTGACCTGGCTCCGCGTTCCATAAATCCTCCTGCTCCGGGCAGCTGCACACCGTGTTGTACGGGAGGACGGCGAGGTGTCGGTGGGCACTGCCTGCGGGTCGGTGTGCGTTCTGCACACTGGGATGGTGTGCTGGCCTCTGAGGGTGTTGTGGTGAAAGCCGAGTGCATCCGAGGGCCAGGGAGTCTAATTTACAAGCGGATTTTGTTGACAAGCCTCTCTTCTTTAATCTTCATTTAATGAGATAAAACACTGGTTGTGGACCGGTGGTATTCCTAGTACTCCCTTGACTTCTTAGCTTAAGTAACCTTACTGAAAGGGGGATTTTATTTTGCCGCAAGTAGAGATGTCCTTCTTTTTATTTTTCCTGTTTGCTCTCGTCTTTATCGTAGAAACTTTGTCCATTAGACTCTCTAGAGGTTTTCAAAATGTAGCCTGAGCTGCCTGGACTTCCAGGGACGCCCGCAGGAAACCGTTACAAAAGCAGTAGCGGGTAAAGAGCTCGTACCTTGATGCGAGTCCAGGCACAGCACCAA